GGTATAGAGGAACTCAGACTGGAAATGAAAAAAGAAATCCCTGAATTAATAACATCTACAGTAAAGAATCAAATGCAGAAACATATGGAGGAAACTCAATGCCCATCCAGAACAAGTGTAGAGGACACTAGCTCAGCTCAAATGTATGAATTAATAGCATCGATAGTAAATAAGCAACAGCAGAAAGTCATAGAGGAACTCAGAGTGGAATTCTTTTCTACTAGCTCAGCTCAAATGTACAAATTAATAGCTTTGATAGTAAATAAGCAACAGCAGAAAGTTATAGAGGAACTCAGAGAAGAATTCTTTTCTGAAATAAAAAAAGAACTCTCAGAACTCATAGCATCTGAAGTAAAGAAGCAACTACAGAAGCATAGGGAGGAAACCCAATCTGAAAAAACACTGCAGTAAAAGAATTTATAACTGCTTCTAAAGAAGACATTGATAAAAAAATAGAGGAGATTAGAAAAATGACAGATTCCTTGAATGAGCAATACAGGAAAGAAATAGATCGCATGAAGCAGACTCAAAGAGATATAGAGGAAATTAAAATCTCAATCACAAGCTTGCAAAACCGTTTAAGTGAAAGTGAAGACAGAGTTTCAGATCTTGAAGATGCTGGTACAGCTAGTGAAAAGGTAAGAAAGGATTTCTTAAAAACAACAAGGATGCAAGAAAAAATAATCCATCACCTGCAAGATGATGCAAAGATGAACAATGTGAGACTAATAGGCATCAATGAGAAAGAAGGAGTCAATACAAATGACATTAAAAAAATATGGGCAGAACAGTTGACATGCTAGTTCCAAGCCTTTAATGAATGGCTTACAGGAAATTCCTAAAAGTGAGGCAAAGATGAGGTGCTTTCTCTCTGAGATGTCTGTGTCTTCTGCTCAGGTGATATCAAGTAGATACAGGAAACACAGGACCACTTTTGCCATCCTCCATTACCATTGCTTGCTTGCCCCCTTACAGCTCTCAGCTGATGACTGATATCACATCAATTCCAACCCACTTTTATATCCAGCTATCCTTTGGTGTGCCTTGTGACAACTGCATTGGGGACCATGCAGTTATAAACGCAAATTCAACAACTTTCTTTTCCAGCACATGTGCTATCAGACCCAATGTCACAGCTGGAACAGTGTGAAGAATCATCATCCCTATCATTTGTTTAATACATGTTCTGTGCTAGAAACTACATCTTGGAAATAAAGCACTTTCCCCATTTTTCAGATTATAAACCTATATCTTAGCATCTTACCCACAGAGAAATATCTTCCAAAATTGTAGTCAATCCTCTCATCCTTACTGTTGCTTTATCAACTAAGTGCATATAAGTGTATAAAATATTTTAAAATCCCTTGTGGTCGATTCAACCATGGTCATTAACCAATTTTTTCATCTATAAGAATCAATTCCTCTTCTGTTAAAATTTGGCCTTTAGATGCAATTTGGCCTCAATTGCATCTCTAGGCTTTGCCTCTTTTCTTCTCAGTACATTTACAGTTACTTCCTTCACCGAGGTCTTGACCCCCTCAAAGTCATCCATGAAGATCGGAGTCAACTTTTTCCAGACTCCTGTTAGTGTTGGCATTTTGACCTCTTCCCATGACTCATGAATGTTCTTAATGTCATCTAGAATGGTGAATCCATTCTAAAAGGTTTTCAATTATCTCTGTTCAAATCCATTAGAAGAATCACTATCTATGATAACTATAGTCTTACAAAATGTATTTTTTAAATAAGACTTGAAATTTTAAATTACTCATTGATCCACAAGCTATTAAAAAAGCATTTGTTAGCAAGCATTAAAGCCAAACAAACAAGTTAACAAATAAAAAGGGCAAGATTACTAGAAATGATATAATTTACTCAAATATATAGAATAAGCCTCATATTACTCTCTTCTTATTCCTCTATCTTTTAAAAAGCCCCTTGACACCAGTAGACAATTTCACCATTTTATAGGGGGTCAAACCAGGGATCAGAGTAGTAAATTTTGCATGAGAATGCACTGCCTATTCATATTTGACCAGGAAAGAAACTCAGATCTCTCTGTCTCTCTCTGTCCCTCTGTCTCTCTGTCTCTGTCTCTCTGTCTCTGTCTCTCTGTCTCTGTCTCTCTCTGTCTCTGTCTCTCTGTCTCTGTCTCTCTGTCTCTGTCTCAGTCTCTCTCTCTGTCTCTCTCTGTCTCGGTCTCTCTCTGTCTCTGTCTCTGTCTCTGTCTGTCTCTCTGTCTCTGTCTCTCTCTGTCTCCTTGTCTCTGTCTCTCTGTCTCTGTCTCTCTCTGTCTCTGTCTATCTCTTTGTCTCTGTCTCTCTCTCTGTCTCTCTCTCTGTCTCTCTCTCCCTCCGTCCTTCTTTCCTTCCCCCCCTCCTCACTCCCCCCAACCACCTCTGATTTCTGAAACTTTCCCATGCCTGCACAATACAACTGCTCTCACACTACAACAGTGCTCAGGGAGTCTCCCCCTCCCAGCTAGGTATAGATTCTCTGCCCTGCTCCACACCTTTACCTCCCTGTGTCTGCAGGCCCAGCTCGGCAGGGGGTGCAATTACCATCTGTGTCACTGGCATATTCACAGAGGCATATTTAAGTCACTGCAGCACTCAGAGGAAAAAGCACAACCCAGCAAAGTGCTGAACCCAGCCTCAGGTCTGACTGCACAGCGTAGACATCGAGGAGTTCACACTACCATGGAAAAGATATGCAAAGGAAATTAGAAAAAGTACATTCTCCTTTTGGGACACTGCATTGCTTCCCGCATGCCTAGGCGTTCAGATAGCTTTCACAGGCTGGCTGGCTGGTCAAGTTCATGGCACCTTGGAGGCAAGGGTAGGGGTGGAGCAGCAACCCAGAGGTATGCAGTAAAAGACAGAGAATATTCACGTGCAGGTGATCTCATATGGTCATGGGCCATCTGCTTCCTTAGCCAACCACTTGTTCCTGGAAAAAAATGATGTGATAAGTGAGAAGTCTCTCTCTCTCTCTCTCTCTCTCTCTCTCTCTCTCTCTCTCTCTCTCCCTTCTCCCTCTCCCTCTCCCTCTCCCTGTCTCAGTCTCTCAGTCTCTGTCTCTGTATCTCTCTATCTCTCTCCATCTGTGTCTCTCTGTCTCTGTGTCTCCATCTCTGTCTCTCTCTGTCTCTCTCTGTCTCTCTGTCTCTCTGTCTCTCTGTCTCTCTCTCTCTCTCTCCCTTCTCCCTCTCCCTCTCCCTCTCCCTGTCTCACTCTCTCAGTCTCTGTCTCTGTATCTCTCTATCTCTCTCCATCTGTGTCTCTCTGTCTCTGTGTCTCTGTCTCTGTGTCTCTGTCTGTCTGTCTGTCTGTCTGTCTGTCT